GGCAGTCTGCTTCTGTAAAGATTCATAGCCTTGGAAATCCAATGATGGTCACTATGAGTTTGGTTTTATGTGTGTGTGTATGTGTGTGTATATATTTTTATGCACAATTGTCTTTGAGCCAATGTGTGTATGTAAGAGTACAGCTAAGTGCCATACGGTTTTCAATGGCTGATTTTTTGGAAGTCAGTGGTGCCTCTGGGTTCACTCCATCCTGCAACCTTTTGGTTAGCATCCAATAGTGTTAACCATTTACACTACCCAGGAACTCCATTACTGTATATGTATATGTGTGTGTATATACATATATTTTTTTTCCTCATTGTTAATTTCTGGTCCAGGTCAAATGATTGTCCCAGGGAATTCTAACAACAAATAGTATAGAAATAAAATAGACAATCAGGCATGACTTGGCTTATGAATGTTGTACTGTGGCTGAAATCTTCAAAAAATTGTTGGTTGGTTTACTTTTCCTAAGAGAAGCTTGATGATATTTGAAAATTTGAGGAACTCAATGAACGTTTTCTCTTACCGCACTGGAGCCCCTGAGGAAGGAGAGCAGATTTCGACAGACCGGCAGCAGAATCAGCATGCAGTTGAAATTCAGGCAGGCTGCAGGGGCCCGAGCCAATGCCAGTGCTGACTGGAGGAAGCAGCATATGCAGCAGGGTGACTCTGGGCACACAAAATGCAATCCCAGCCTCCCCAGGATTCCCAGCACGAGGTCCGAACATCAGAGACATCAAATTATCCAGAAAAGATAACATGAGTTTTCCTTTAGGTCCCACTGAGAGTATTTGTTTTGATATCAGGCTGACTCTTTTCCCCAATCCCAATATTTTATTATTAAAAATTTCAAGCATATAGAGAAGTTGTAAGAATTTTACAATGAATGCCCATTTATCCATCTCCCAGATTCCGCAATGTACATTTACTTCACCAATTTTCCAATCCTGGTGACATTAATCAGGGCATATCAGAACCTCAGTCCACCTTTCTCTCCATATTATTTATTATGTCTACTCAAAGACTTGTCCATGGGGACAGTTTCCCTTCACCACCATCTTTCCTAAGCAGCTGCTCACTATGTTTCCTTTATCATATATCTATCCACCTCTCTCTCCATCCATCAATTCATAATTTTTTTGGGGGGTATGTGGGGGTGGGGGATGCATTTCAAAGTAAGTTGCAGACATTCGTTCCCATTTCCCTAAATCCTTAAGTACTTCAGGATGTATACCATTAACTAGAGCTTGGTATTATAACTGAGTTTTTAAAGATTTTATTAAACATTTTCTTAGCACTTAGACTAACCTTAATAGTACTTAAGCTAGTGTGGTATAGTGCTTTGACCTTAGAGTTATCTTTGAAATACCTGAATAATTATTATCTTAGAAATGCCAAATTTTGGAAAGGGGAAACAAAAGGAAGTCATTCTTCTCAGAATCAACACGAATAAGTTAACAGCAATTATAATAATGTATTATAATTATATATCATAATTTCTTATATGTATGATCTACAATGCATATTATAACTAGTTGATTACCTCACAGCTTTAGTAAGATGTAACAAATTATATTCTCTGAGGATGGCAGCAATTGGGATTATTTTCCTTTGTGATGAAGAAGAGGCCTAGTAGTTCCAGGAAACTGAGAATGCTGAGTACCCAAGGAAACTCATGGAGCTTCCACTCTGCTGGCAAGTCAACAGACATGACCCTTCAGAAAGCTCCTCAGGGACTCCATTTGTAGGAGAGACTGATTTTCTGAAGATCATTTCATAGCATGCCACCAAAAGCAGGACTTTCCATATTAAATATAGTGGTAAGAATTGGATGATTTCGAAAATATGGAAAGTTCCACTTGTTTCACTTATGGCTTTCCATTTCAGAGTCAGTATCAGATTTTTCCTTTAATAAAAACAATGGAACCATGACTCAGGAAGAAAAGGATGCCACTGGGACCCTTGGCCCCATTTTGGTTTTGCTCCATACAGGAAGGGATTAAGAGGTTCTCGCTTCCTTCATGGAAATGAGGCTGATGGTGTTGACTATTTATTGGTCACAAAACATTCACTTAAAATTTGAAGGAAATATGGAAAAGAATGTTTCATGAGAAATGTGAGCCAGCCAGTCTTGCATGAGATGGAACGTGTACTTACCCCAAGAAGCTTTCGAGTATAGAAGAACCTCTTATCAGTATCGTAATAGTGGTAGTAATAGGCAAAGAGGAAGGCATTCATCCCCAGCCATACCAGCTGCATAAACAGAAAGAGTTGAGTGAAGTTTAAGTTTCAACAGGTAAATTGCATACAGGTAGGAGTTAGGCCATGGTCAGAATTTCTCTAAATCCAGCCTTGGACAAAGGTGATTACAAAGCTGGGTGTAAACAGCTTAGAGCCAGGGCTTGCCTATCACAATTTCACCACACTTCTTTACAATTAACCTTCCCACCATGGCTTGTTCTCCATTACTGTTTTGCTTCTTGACCAATATGCCAAGTTGTTTTGAGTCTATCTCCTCTCCTCTCTTTCTCCTCTTTCTTTCTTAACCTTACCAACCCAGGGCGATGCACCCACCTACTCTACGGAGATACACCTCTTGGAACAATCGGCCATGGGACACCAGAGGGGCAGCATTCACATGGAAGGAAAGCTGGACAGACAGGAGTGCATAACTAAGAAGGGCACAGGGAGGAGAGGTCACAGGGAAGGGAGAGGAGGAGAGTGGGTTAGGGTTGGGGACGGTAATCGGAGAGTGAAACCAAACATCCATGAACTGTTGAATGTCAAACAAATTCTGCTCTGTAAATTTGCACCCAAAGCACAATAATAAAATAAACAAATAAATAACAAAATACATAAAAGTGGAATATATTACTATTATTCTCACCCACACTAGTAGGAAAATGTGCTCTGCTCTCACAGACACCAGTCACTTCTTTCTACCATATAGCACCTCATTCCAGCTGATGGGAGTCTCACTAACTAAAATGCAAAGACTCATGCTATTTGATAAGTTTGGATTAACTTTTAGATGAGGAGCTATTGAGCATAAATGTAGGGGGTAAGAGGTATTGGATTTTAAAACAAAGAGAGCCTTCTAGGGAGTGATTGCTCTTTTCATTCCAAGCACTGACTACATCAAGTGTTGACATTTTGCATGTCTTTACCCTCACCTCCATGGTGACCTTTCCTTAGTGTAATTTGAAGCTATTAAAAACCCATAGCTGCTGAGACCAGAAATCTGTCCTTCTTTACAAAGAAGGTAGTAAATTGACTTCCCCATTTCCTGACCTTGTCATTCTTCTTACTCTTGCTTTCCAAGCTGTCTTCACTTTCAAGTCCAGGCATACCTAGTTTTATTATGCCCTGCTTTATTGTACCTCACATATTATATTTTTGACAAATTGAAGATTTGTGGCAAGCCTGCATCCAGCCAAGTCTATTGGTGCCTTTTTATCCAGAGCATGTGCTCACTTCAAATCCCTGTGTCACATTTTGGTCAATATTTCAAACTTTTTCATAATGCTGTTGCACACTTTATAGACTATAATACAGTGCAAACATAACTTTTATGTGTAGTAGGAAATCAAAAACTTCTTAAGACTCACTTTATTGTGTGATATTCCTTTATTACAGTTTTCTGGAACCAAATCCACAATACCTCCAAGGTACGCCTGTATATGAATGCACATTCTAGAAGGAAATCATTCATTTCCCAGGGAAAATTGCAGTTGGAACTAAAATTATAATTTGAACTTGTTTGCTACAGAAGTAATCTGCTCTTAAAATGGTGATTAAAATCTTAAACTCATAGTTCTAAGTCCTCAGAAGAAACGTATATTACATTAGAACGTTGGTTTGGCAGAAAATGTACTTTTTAAGATGACAAAATAGTTTTTGTTTCTATGTTTATGCATTTATATCTTTCTATCTCTAAAACTCAAAGACTAAATATTCTTCATGATAAATTCTTCCAATTGTTCCACTTATAAGTGTTCTTTTAAACATCTGTTTTTAGGTTTCCATTGTTGTTGTTGTTGTTGTTATGTGCTGTCGAGTCGGACCCCATTCATAGCGACCCC